TCTAAATCCCTCTAGGCTTCTGATCAAGATCAACTATCACAAGAAGGAAGCCCTTTTATCTTGTGGTTTTGTCTCCCTAGGTCTAGACTTTGAATACTCCCATGTCTCAAGAGGAAGTATCCTGAGGGTAGAGTTTGACAGCAAGGCTGTGATTTTAAAAGTAAAACAGACACTCTTGTCATTGCTAGAGTAGTTCTCATGAAAGTTTCATGGCCCGACTTAGACTGTCCCTGAAACTAAGGGGCTATTTGTGACTCTAACTTTACAATATAATGGTGCCACTGCCACCATGAAGCTAATGTTGGCTGGGCTTTTGACAAGAGGACAAGATGGGATTCTAAATGAGAAACTTGGAAACTGCCAATCTCATATCTTCTTCTTATCCGTGTCATCATTTCTTTCTGGACAATATTTAATCATGAGACCTTTTGTCCTTAAATCATTTATTCAGTCACCCCACATTTAACATGTATTTATTGAATAAGCAATATGTGTTAGAAATTAATAATTCAACAATTATCCGTAGTCCATCATTATGTGTAAAACAAGGCTATTTTCCTATACCAAGTTTCATCTACTATACAGTGGTTATGCACACACCTATGAATATAAGTGAATGTCATACCAAGAGCTTAATCTAATAAAATTGTGAGGAAGTTTACGATGGGCCCAGAAAGAATAACAGCAAATAGGGAGAATTTTAGTTGCTCTTAAATAGGAGTCAACAGTAGCCATATCCACAAAGAGGAGCGACTCTCCTTCCCTCACTCCCATCCACTGTAACAGCTCCTTCACTGCACGCAGATCCCTAACCTCTCCTTTACTGGTATCAGAATTGGTCCTGTGTGGGTCTTATGTAGGTAAACCCACTGGGATGACAACCCCATATTGATGTGTACATGGATATCACTAATTAGATGAAGAAATAAAGGACATGATGTTGGGAGGGGGAAGGGTAGGAGGAATAGGAGGGAGGTAATGATAGAGGAATTCGATCAAAATATTGTATAAATATGAAATTTGCAAAGAATTAAAAGGATTAATCAACAAGTCAGATGCAAGGGAACAGAAATTATTTATTAAAGGGGAAAATTCAACATGCTGTATCAAAACACAGGGACCAAAGAAAAGCAGAGATACATCTCACTCTGGTTTGCTTTTCTGTTGCTGTGATAAACCACTCTGACAAAAAGCAATGTATGAGGAAAGGATTTCATTCATTTTACAATTCAAGACACAGTCCAGCAATTAGGGACGTCATGAAGAGACTCAAGCAAAACTTGAAGCAGAAGCCACAGAAGACTGATGTTTGCTAGCCCTTTTGTCCTCCCTTCCTCTCTCTCCCCTTCCCTCCCCCCTTCCCTCCTGCCTTCCCTCCATCCTTTCATCCCTTCCTCCCACTCTCCTTCCCTCCCTCTCTCCATCACTCCCTTTCTCTCTTCTCTCTCTGTCTTTATCCGGCTTGCTCAGCTAGCTTTCGTATACATCCAAGACAAAATTGTATGTGGAATAATGCTGCCCATATTAAGCTTCCGCCACATTAATCATTAACCAAAAAAAAAAAAAATGACACACAGGCCAACCTAATGAAGGAAATGCCTCAACTGAGATATACCTCAACTCTTCCTAGGAGAAGAGTTGTGTTGAGTTAATAATTAAAAAGTAACCACCAAAAGACGGGAGTCTAATTTGACTAGAAATGAGTACAGAATGCATGGAAACAATAGGAATATCAGGGTTGACCATGGTCAACTGAGAAATGATAAATTCATAGAGACCATTTACTTGGAAAAGGAATTAATAGCCAAGACCAAGGTGAAAGGCTAAAATGAGACCTCCATTGGATCCTCTGGCACTAAAGAAAATGGGTGTAAATATTCATCACGCAATGACAGTGAAGGCAGAGGTATCGTCATTACCCAAGATCCTTCCTGAAATTGACACTATTAAATATAAAGCAGATAATCCCCACTTACCTAGGAGTGGAAAGAAAATGGATACAATTGGACTGAGATAAGGGTATTTATTCCTACACTTAGATTTCATGTTAACAGTTCCTGGAGTGTGATGTGTAAAAAAAATGAATAGAATCTGATTGGAACAGAAAATTGGCCTTGGTTTGGGAATGTGGAGAGAATGGATTTTATTGTAAATAATGCAATTTCAAAATTTTTCAAAGGATACATTTATTTTATACATCTTTCATCATCTCCACTACCTACCCCAACATTACATTAGGATATCTTTTTAACCTCTCTCTCTCTCTCTCTCTCTCTCTCTCTCTCTCTCTCTCACACACACACACACACACACACACACACTCACACACACAAATATATATATAATAAGTAATATGATATTACTTAGGAGGGTAATTGACTTCCTTTCAAAGGGAAGTGTTTTATGCCGTTAAGAAAGCCACTCGACAACACCAACCTATTATTACTTCTGATTGAAATAATAACAAAGAACTTTACAAATACAAAGCCTGTGCTTTGACTGGAAGGGGAGGCAGGAAATCAGAGTGTTAATGTCTGCTATAGCTCCACAGGGTGGGCAGGCAGATGCAGGTAGGGAGTTATTTCCTCTAATAGCACCAATTCATTCCTTGAATCTATAGATACAGAAAATCATCACATAATAATTAGCTAAATAAGCCGTGGGAGGAACCAAAATGCTCACTGAGGTAATAGTTTTAGCACAGAGCTGGGACGAAGCTGTCAGTGTTAGACATGACTGTCAAGATAATTAGCCTTCACTAGCACTCACCTAGGCCACCCATCTGTTGGCTCTTCTAGGGATTGGACCGTGAGAGCAGACAAGGCACTTCTTATTCAAAGCATGAACAGTTTTTCCTTCCATGTTTGTGATTCAATGTGCGTTTTAGGGAAATTACTTCAGTAGAATTTCTGGAGAGTCTGCATGCATCATTTGGAGTCAATGGCAAAAGGAGTTTTGGGAAGGATTTGAGTCTGAGCATGACCCCTTTATTTAATGTCGGAAGGGTATATTACAGTGTGCCTTCACCCACTCAGCATCTGGAATCATATAGACTAAGATCTCCCAGAGCACAAATGTGCTTTGAAAGCTGACACAAAGAGAGTAGATTATTATTGCATGTATTTATTTCCCTTGTCATCTGTTTTTATCATAAACTACAAAGTTCAAGTCTTAGAGAATATAGTTACCAAGTTTGGTGGAATTTGGATTGTCTTCTACTACTGACCTGTTTACTTACAAATACTCATTCTTGAGCTTTCTTCTCTATGCAGCAGGGGCCACACCCTTTCAAAGCTTTGTCTTGGCGTGTGACTCCAGAGAACTGTGTAGAAAAGACGAAGACCAGTTTTTAAAGACTAGCAAGGAGGATTTAGAAAGAATTTTGAAGCAACAGCTCATGTTACAAACAGTTGGTTGTTTACAGTCACCTGAGATGATGATACAAGAGATTGTCACTTTAGCAACCTCTAGTAAAGTCTCTCTGTTCTCAGAGAAACCATCAAGGACACTAAATCATGATGTGCATGTCACTGGGGGAAAAGGGAAAGATACAGGGATATGCCTAAGAGCCACATGGGGATAACAATATGGTACCATGGCTAGAACTAAACAGAGGTCACGCTGACTCCAGAGTCTGAGTTCTTGCAGGGAGATTTTTGGCTTTAAGATTCCTTCAGAGTGGATGATATCCACCATCTGCCACTGGAAAATGCTAAGGATTTGACACAGTTTATATATAAGTTGCATAGATGTCTCTCTGTGCCAACTGCTTCCTTCCCCAAGAAGGAAGGCAAGAGACCAACTGATGAAACTTGAAAGGACCACAGCCTCCTCTGATCTGCAGCTGGTGATTGACAGTCTGGTCCCAAGTCTCTACAGTTGTCTCAAGGTCTCCATAGACAGCAGTAAAAGACAAGGACTGGAATCATTGCATCTCCCCAAAACATTCATTCTGAAATCTCTTTACTGTGGAAACTCTCCAGGCAGTGATTTTGACTTCAAAGTGCTCTATGGTGAAATGTGAGTTCCAAGAGCCCTTCTTTAGCAGGCTTTTTTCCTAGAGGGCTCTATCTTGTGCTATGTGTGGTACCTCAAGTGGAAGATTCGAGAACCCATCAATGGTTGTAAATATGAACTTTTCACCCAACAGGAGAATCTTTTTTTGTCTCACAGCAGTATAACTTAGAAAAAATGAATAACAAAGGTGGGCTGTTGATTGGGAATTTTCTAAGTTAACCCTTCAAGGACTTGCTGTTAATGATCTACTTCATCCAATCAGCCCCAGCTCTTAGCATCTGTCACCTACTAAAATGGCATCAGTGTATGCATAGATCAATGAACTGGCCCATTGAAGAAGACCTAATCCTCATGAACTGATCACTTTCTGCAGGTCTTGCTAGAGTTTGGACCACAACATTAGCCTTCTGACCACCAAAGGCTTATGCCTTATTATACAAACAGCATTTAGTCCAACTATAGGACTACAACATCTCAAGAATTCTGGAACTGGGTAATACCTCCTCTGAAATTAAAGGTAACTGTTGTCTGTGAGCTACTGTGAAATCAATGATAAAGTTACATGGTTTCATCACATGCTGAAGAAACATGGTACACATATATTCCCATTCCAAAAGGAATGACCAGCCTAGTCAACAGAGCAAGCTCCAGGACAGGCTCCAAAGCTACAGAGAAACCCTGTCTCAGAAATGTGAAAATAAAAACAGGAATGAGCAAAGAAAGGAGAGATGGGACCAAAGACTGAAATCATAAACACAACTAAGAAAAAATGCTGTCACTCCCTGTGTGGCAGCCTGGTTACACAATGACTCAGTAACTCCACAGGACTCAGTCAGCCCTGGCCAGGTGTTTACAACAATGTAGCATTTCCTTGGGCTGGCTATGCTCATTGTCAGTGACTTTTTTGGCAGATACCCCATGCTCCTGGCATACAGAATGTCCTGAGGTCTCAGCCAGGACTTTGGTGTTTTGTACTCATGGATAAAAGCAAGGACAATTTCATGAGTTTACATGTTATCTTTGTAGAGGGGTCCTGCTAACCTTTGTAACATTCCAGTTTCAGTATATGTGGTGATCATATGACCATGGTAAAATGAATCTAGTAGTCCAATAAGAGCTGAGCCTCCTGGCAGAATCAAAGGGATCTGGAGGTATTTCAAATGAATTTACATCTTATACACTTGAACCTGGGAAGGGTAGGTTTGGGTCCACCTGGATTTTTCTTTTTAATAGAGAATCTTTTATCTATTCTTTGACAATCTCATGTATATAAATACTGTATCTTAATTGTATGTATCTTCAATATCCCTCTCTCTCAGACATCTCCAACATGTCTCCTCCCTGTATTCTCTTCTGCAATGGCCATACCATGCTCATAAGGTAGCATTTCACATTGCTCCTTCTACACTCTGGCTCTTACATTGCTTCTGTACCCTCATTCACACTGTCCTTGGAGCCCTTTTTGATGAGTGACTGATATGGATGTCCCACTGAGATCTGAGCACTCAGTAGTTCTTCCTTCTCATTACTTACAACAGTTATGAGTCTCTGCAATAACTACTGACCATTCCAGAAGGAATGTTCTCTTTCCAAGGTAGAGGGCAGCACTACAACTATGTGTACAAACATAAATGTTTAGAAGTCAGTTTGACAACATCTCCATTTAGCAAGATAGCAATGTTAGGTTCTTCTGTCAGTCTTGTGACATTCCTAGCCATGGGATTTTGACCAGGTCTACAGTGCTAGAATGAGTCCCCTCCTATGGGACAGGTCCCCCCTCAATTCCAATTAAGAATGGTTGGTTACTTACTAAACCTTTATGCCACTATTGCACCACCAGGCAATGTTGCTTGCCGAGTTGGTATTAAGGCATGAAAAATTTTCTGCCGAGTAATAACATTAGTGCCTTTTTCTCTAGCAGCCATGTAGTACCTTCTTGCACCATGACAGCTATCTGGCAATGAGGAAAATTTTACGTAAGAACCAGTTTCATTTTTTTCTGAATCTTACAACAAAAGTTGGTTGTGTCTTCAGCAATAGTATTTTACCATCTAATTCTGATAGCCAACCAAGAGTTATGGTAATAGCCTGCATTGTTGTGGAGGCCTTTGGGGACTCCATAAAAACTCATAGGGGTATAGCCAACTTCTTAATCAGGTCAATTCTTGTTAGACAACCTGGTGTGATCTGCATGGCTTCTTTGCATGTACCATTCTTTTCATCAGTGAAAATGTCCTTCCATTTCTACAATGCTTCTTTCCTGTCCAAACTGAATGATTTTCAAAGCCTTCTGCTCTTCTTCCCAGATTTCTACTGTGAATCTAGCTGAGGGCAACCAGGACTGGCCATGCCTGAATGCTGGGCTGGGATCCCTTGAAACTTCCTCTACCAGATTAACTGGTTCATCACCTTTAACTTAATCCTTCTATAAAGCTGCAGGATATGGAGAAAATGCAGATATGTTCTTTGCCAGGATATAACAAGAAAGGCCTCAGGCTAAATTCTCAGTAAAGTCCTGACTTCCATTTGAAGGTGCCCAAACGGTCTTTACTGTCAACATTCCTACTAGAAGTCTGATCTCACATGCCACATACATATAATTCTAGGCTTTTTTTATAACCTTCTTCCCAAACATCAAAATTCCTCCTTAAACAGTTCAAAGGGCTTCTGAATCACTACCTACAGCAAAGACCATATGTGTCAATGACAAATTTCTGTGTAAGCCATCTTTCATCACTGTAGCAAGATACCTGAAATAAAAATTAAAAAAACCTGAAAAGGTAGACAAATTTCTTTGGGTTCACAGTCTCTCAGGAATCAATCAGTGGGCACCTGAGTCTTTGCCTTTAGGTCTATGGTGATTCAGAACATAACGGGAGTGACAACATAGGATATAGTCACTACTTAGCTCAAGGTGACCAGGAATCAGAAAGAAGAGACTGGGTGCAGAGCAAATGCTTCAAAGGCATGACCCCAATGACTTATTTTTTCCAACTAAGACCCTCCTTATAGCCTACTGAGGTATGAACTTTTGAGTAGATTGATCTCTTGATGATGTTAGCATCACCTCTCAACAGTGCCATCATCCGGTGACCAAGACTTTCACACAGGAAACTTGGGCTGGGGGATTTTTATTCAAACCACCCTGTGTCTACCATAGTTGGGACATTAAATATTCCCAAGGTATATGTCTTAAATGTTTAGCCCAAAGGGTGGCATTATTGTGAAATAGTATAACTTTTAGAAGGTTTAGCCTATTGGGAATCATTAGGCTGTTTAAAAAATGGTTGTCTTAATTATCTTTAACTGTAAACTTTCACAACCTAGAATCAGCTGAAGAGTGTCTCAATGGGGAGATTGTCTACTTTGGGTTGGCCTATGGAGGTGTCTATGTGGTATTGCCTACATGGGGTTGCCTTAATTCAACTAATTGATGTGGGAAACCTCAGGGTACTATGGGTAGTACCATCCCCTAAGTGTGTATCTTGAACTATATGAGCAGAGGAGCTGAAGAAAGCACAAGCAAGCTAGCATACACACATCCGTTTCTCCTATACTCTTGACTGTGAAACTGATGTGAGTAAATGCTCAAAACTGATTCCTTGGATTCTCTGACAGGATGGGTTGGAACCTGTAATTATGAGATGAAATAAATCTTTTGTCCCCTAAGTTTCTTTCTTTTGTCAGGAATTTTTGACCATAGCAACAGAAATGAAACAGAAAAATGCCCTTGAAGATGAATGTGAGACTTGAGTTCATTCTTTTCCATCTTTTGCTTCCTGGCAGAGAGAAGAACAGAATCGCTCTACCATGTGTATGGGCATGGTATGTAACCTTACCACAAATCCAATGCTAAAGGACCACAGAAGCACACATTGGAGCCTCTCAGATGATGAGTCTACACAAACATCTTCTCTTTGTGAATTAATAATCTCAAGTGTTATGGGATGGTGACATAAAACTGATGAACACAACACCCCATCTCACTTGAATAAGGCAACAGAGTCAAAGTAATGCATACAATCCACTGATCAGTCCTTCAAGGGGGAACTGCTTTCTTTTCATCCCATGACCTAAACTAGTGGTTCTCAACCTTCCTAATGTTGCAACCCTTTAATACAGTTCCTCATGTTGTGGTGACCTCCCCCAACCATAAAATTACTTTGTGGATACTTAAAAACTTTAATTTTGCTGCTGTTATGAATTATAATGTAAATATCTGATAGGCAAGACATATGATATGTGACCCCAAAGGGACCATGACCCATAGGTTGAGAACCACTGGTCTAAACTCTGTACCGTTGTAGAATATATATTTGAGTGTTTAACCCTGTGAATGATGTGACATGAAGGAACCTTGTCTCTGGTAGAGTGTCATATCACTTTTTATGCTTTTAACATGTATAAATTCATGTAGAGAAAAATAGTCCCTTGTGAAGGCTACTGTTATTTTGCATATCTAACATTCAGCTGAACATGTTTTCTAAGCAACTTAAAGTCTTGCCCCACATGACTCTATTTTGAGGACCTCTTTTCAATGTTCATGAATCATTAGAATTAGAGATGACCTCAGAGACATTAATGTGAGGTTCTTAATGAATGGATAGAGAAGTCCTGTAACTTCTTGTTGGGAGCTGAATCTCAGGGCTTGACATGAGATCCTAGGCCATGCTTGGCAGGCCACATAGTTAACCTTTACATAGCAGCTCCTTAGAACCTCAGCTCAAGAAAAGAAACAACTTAACCCAGTCCTCCACCCACAGGCTCAGTCACCTAAGCAACCCCTTCCTGGACCTCTTACTCATGAACTCTTT